GTGAAGGTGTGACAGGCCTCAGCCGGTGCGGTACCTGAGAGAGCAGTCTCTGTGGGTGCTGTACCTGAGAGAGCAGACTCGCAAACAGCGGGGACAGCACTGGAGGGAGCAAGTACAGGGGGCACCATACCAGAGAGAGCAGACTCACTAGTACCCAGGGCAGCGGGCTCTATACCTGGGTCAGGCGGCACACACAAGTAACAGTCTCCCTCGGCACTAACAGTCAATGCATACATGGCAGCAATAATAGCATCATAGTCAAGAGCAAAGATATCAACACCAGCCCTCATGAGCTCAGCCCAGCGGGGGCGCTCAACATCCTCGCCCATCTCCTCACGCCAAGCGTCGTCAAGGCGGGAGAAGCAGCGGTACGGGGTGTGGAACCTCCCACACGTCTGTCCCTTGCGGTCACCTGTGCGAATGACATAGGAACAGCGGCCACTGCCCCCCGACGTCCCACGCTGAGCAAGCCACTCACGAAGCTGTTGGGTCGTCTGGGGACGCTGCTGCTGCTGGGAGCTCTGGCCCGAGCCAGTGCCTCCACTCCGACCTCCGCCGCCACCACTACCACCGCTCCGACCGCCACCGCCACCACCGCCACCACCGCCACCGCCGCCACCGCCGCCGCCGCCACTACTGCCACTGCTTCCTCCGCCGCCCCCGCCTCCACCGCCGACCCCACTCCCACCAGCGCTCCCGCCACCGCTCCCTCCAGCACCGCCTCCCCCCCCACCTCCCCCACCTCCTCCCCCCCCAGCGCCACCCCCGCCACCCTTGCCCCCCTTGCCCTTGCCGGTGCGGCGCCTCCCACCAGGAGCAGAAGCAGCGCCAGCAGACTCAGCACCAAGGAAGTCAACAGCAGCAGCAGTAGCATAGGAGGGAGCGAGGGGAGAGGGAGAACACCCCTCAAAGATGGGGGTGCGAGGAGCGCCACGAGCAGCACCGACAGCTACAATGCTCTTTTCGGCCGCTAGCAGCTGCTCCTCTAGGAGGGCGACTGTGAGCTCAGTGGGACAGCGAGCAAGGAAGTGGTCTCGAACTGAGCTGAGGGTGTCAGGGAGACGGGTGACTATGAAGTGGAGTGTCCAGTACAGTGGAGGGGGATTCTTAGCGCAGAACTCGGTGGGAAGGGCGGCACGCAGGCGAGCATCACTAGTGCGAAGGTGAGTGATAAGATCGGCGACTGTAGCAAAGGTGGACAGCTCAGGGAACAGGTACGGCAGCATGAGGCGGCTAAGCTCGGCTGTGGCAGGCGAGGAGTAGCGAGCAACGACAGCATCGTACAGGGCCTTAGCGGATTTGCAGTCGCCAAAATGCTCGAGCTCAGCTAGCGGCAGGTGACTGCGAATGGCTAGGCGAGCAGCTGCGTCACGAGTCTGCCAGTGGGAACGAACACTAAGCTCAGCTGTGGCAGGAGGGGCAGGTGCAGCACCAGACGCGTAATCATAGAGCGACACATGCTCCTTGCTATCGCTCAGAAGGAACAGCTGCAGGTCATCCAGCCAAGTGGCGAACTTCACAGGGCGGCCCTCAGCATCGAACGACAGCACGCGGATGGAAGCCATAGCGACAGTGCGACTGAGCAAAGGAAGCTGCCGCAGCGCTGCAGGTAGGTAGCTCGGCGGGAAGCGCGGCGGGCGGGCGACGCGGCGAGCGGGCAGTGCGGGGGGCGGGCTGCGAAGCGGGCAGCGCGGTGCTGCAGGCAGCGAAGAGGGCAGCGGGCAGGCGGGCGACGCTGCAAGCGGGCAGCGGGCGGGCGGGCGACGCTGCAAGCGGGCAGCGAGGCGGGCGGGCGACGCTGCGAGCGGGCAGCGCGGCGGGCGGGCTGCGAAGCGGGCAGCGGGCGGGCGGGCGACGCTGCAAGCGGGCAGCGAGGCGGGCGGGCGACGCTGCGAGCGGGCAGCGCGGCGGGCGGGCGACGCTGCGAAGCGGGCAGCGGGCGGGCGGGCGACGCTGCAAGCGGGCAGCGGGCGGGCGGGCGACGCTGCGAGCGGGCAGCGCGGCGGGCGGGCTGCGAAACGGGCAGCGCGGTAGGCGGGCGACGCTGCGAGCGGGCGGCTCGGCGGGCGGGCGACGCTGCGAGGGGCGCGCGAGGGCGCTAACGAGAGGCGCACGAGGGCGCTAACAAGGGGGCGCGAGGGCGCTAGCGAGGGCGCGCGAGGGCGCTAACGAGAGGCGCGCGAGGGCGCTAACGAGGGCGCGCGAGGGCGCTAACGAGGGCGCGCGAGGGCGCTAACGAGGGCGCACGAGGGCGCTAACGAGGGCGCACGAGGGCGCTACGAGGCTAGGGCACGGGGTAGCATGGTAACCGCATGCGAGCGGTGGTGGGCCCTTAAAAAAAAAACGGTCGGTAGGTCCTAGGGACCTCCTGCTCTGATACCATGTTAACAGAACTAGGCAAGAATGGCTGCATTGAAAGAAACAGTTGGGTACAAGTAGCTAACCCTAGTTGGGTTTGTACCCTGTATTGGCTACCCCACTACAGCCTACCTACATATAAATAACACATTACAACTTAACACACTTTGCGTACCTGCGGGGGTCAGGATGTTCATGCCGTCCTGCTCGAACCAGGTCTGGTACTGCTGCCGAACACTCGCCTTGAAGCTTTTGTTGACCGACACATCGAGCGGCTGCAGGTCTGCCGTGCATCCCGCCGGGATGACCGCCGGTACGATGTTGAGCTCCGCGAATTTCGCCTTGACTTCGGGAGTCAGGTGACCACGGTAGGAGTCGAGCACCAGCATGGCGCTACGGCTCTGAACTCCGAACTTTGGTTTCAGGAACGGCACCGTGGTAGTCGCCGGCATCTCCAGCCACAAAGGCGTCTGGTCGGCATTGATAATGTAACGGTTGTCGATGTCGTACTCGTGGCGTGCGTCGCGGACATACTGCCAGAACTCCTTGCACTGCTCTGCCACGTCTGCGTAAGGGGAGGGAGGGACGGGTAAAAAGGCGGATGAGCACCGCGGCAAATAAACATGCATGGGCAAGAAAGTACAAAGATTCAAGCAAGATAATCAAGATAGGATGACAGGAGCACGGACGGGCACTTACGCTGCAGTGTCTTTTGTGCCACCTTTGTTTTCATGCGCACGGTGAGATTCCACCGCTTGCGGAACCGCTCCGTCCAGCGCTGACTCGCCTTCCACTTGACGTCCGGGAACAGGACCTTCATCACCTCTTTAGACCACTCTTGCAGCCGGCTGACAGATACTGCCACACCGCGGCGTCGCCAGTCCAGGAGTTGGGCGTACACCTTCATCTCCATGGGTCTGTACCAGGACGACCTTCCGCGCCCGTGAAGTCGACACCGAGCGCCGTGTGCAGCCTTGAGCTCCTCCGCTTGGGCTTTCCACTCCGTGAGGCACTTGCGGTGTATGCCGGACTCCCTCGCGACCTCGCTTATCGATGCCGCAAGCTCCAGCCGTACGAGCCACTTCAGTTTCTCCTGGGCGGTGTAGCGCTGCCGTTTGTGTTGAGTCATCTTGTGCCTGGGAGAGGGGGGGCGGGCATCACGGTTCTCAGAAGAGGGGTGGGGTCGTTTCTTGTTAACAGGCGGATACGTTGGGATTGGCATCTTCGCGCGTGGTGCGTCGCGCCACCAAGATTCGACGCCGTCGTCGTCGGCGGCCTCACGATCGGGGAAGACGTCCTCCTCGGCGCCCTCTTCAAGATCGATTCCACCGTCGCCTCCACAGCCGCCTTCCGCGTTGCCGTCGCCGGTAGGTTGTTTATCGGCGGCCACGTCATCGTCGGCGCCCACGGCCGACTCGTCCCACGTGCAATCCTCAGGATTTCCCCACCGCGGGGCAGTCGGCGGAGCAGCGACAACCACATCGGGAGCCTTGGGTGTGTCCGGTTCAGACAGCCACTCGTCGAAGGTGGCTGGCAAGTAAAGCTGGAGCACGGGCCGCTGGTGGGAATTCGGGTCAGGAACAGGAGGGCTCGGAGGATTCGGAGGAGCGGGGGGAGTAGGAGGAGCAGGAGGTACAAGAGGAGCAGGCGGAGCAGGCGGAGCAGGCGGTGCAGGTGGTGCAGGTGGCACAGGAGGCTCACGGGTAAACCACCCGTCCGCGGTAAGTCGCCATGGCCGTGGTGGTTTCTTCTTGTAAAGAAAGTGCATCCCACTGAATTCCGCCATGGCTTCGCCAGCCAGGCGGGCTAGAGTAGAAACTGGATGAAAAAAATGAAGACGAGGGTGCACAAATGGGCAACGACGGGGACCCCTGCAACCTAGCGGCGCGGGGTCCTCGTCAATGACAGGCAGGGTTCCCCCGTCTACCCCCGTAGAGGAACCTGCGTGGCAGCATATCCGCTGCGCTGGCAGGGAAACTTCCCCAACCTTCGAGAGGGTTCGAAAGAAATGCACTTGCGTGGCAGCGCATGCGGCTGTGATTGGGCCGCACAGCAACATCCCCGTCAGTGCTGTCACGTTCGATGCTTCTAGCGGTGGGAAACCGCACCGCGGCTGTTTTTGCCTGAAAACCATGCACGTTCCCACGTGCTGCATGGTCCGGTGGATTCGCCTTATTGCGGGCTTCAGTTTAGTATGTTTAAAAGTGAATTTCATTTTTTTTTTCCGTATTATACGCGCATGCGCTTATACAGACACCTCAATTAGAAGCGCACCCCCCCAAAAAACACCGTTTTATTATAAGCGCACCTGCGCTTTTATCCGGGGTAATACGGTAAGGTAAGGAATGGCAATGGCCAGTATGGGATCTGGTATCAAATATCTGCTGTGCCACACGGCCTAAGGAAGATCAAACGCTGTTACTGATCAGGCTTAACCTACCGTATCACTGTAGGAGAAGAGATACCATGTGAGCAAGAGCCTCATGCCCAAAGCACCTACCTAGCCATGTTCCTTATACAAGAGACCCGTTTATGCATTCAAAAATTCCTAGTCGCGGTCATCTCGACGCAATACATCATACAAGGTTCCAGCTGCCCAGCGCACTGCATCTTGCAAGGCTCCCGCTGCCCGCGTCATGCATTTATGCTGATAAGGGCACAGAGTGCATGCGCGCTGCAAGCTCATAGATATGCTGGGGCCAGTTGCGGTGAAGTGTTCCTGCCACCAGATTCAGCACCTGCACCAGGAGGAAAGAACAGCAGACCGTGAATGATAAGAGCTTGCTGTGTCATCCACCCATGTTTTGAAATGGAGTCATATGGAGACGAGGTGAGATGTGATGAGGGGAACAAGTGGGACAAGGTGAGGGTAGGAGTGGGAAAAGTAGAGGGGGAAGAGGGAGAGTGGGTGAGCTAGAGGCAAGGGGTGACGGGGTAAGACGGGAGAGAGAGAGGGAAGAAAGGATTAAAAAATGCATGCCCTTGAAAACAGGTGCAACAGCTAAAAACTGAACCGCCCGCCGCCCCTCCCCCCTCCATTCTCCCCTTACCCTCCCCTCCCCCCTTCTCCCTTCCCTTCCCCACCCACCCCTCCCCCCAGAAACCCACATTATTCCTCAGTGCCCGCACGTTCGGGTCAGCATCGGGAAGCCGGTCCAGGCACGACAGCACGTCCTCCAGCAGCTTCGGCAGCCGGTCCTCCACGGCTCGGTGCAGGCTCGGCAGCACGGCGGCGCAGGCAACAGGTGAGCGGCCGGCAAAGGGCAGGAAGGGGAGGCCGGAGAGGTGCTGCAGTGCGGAGGGCAGGCGTGAGGCGGCATAATCGAGGTAGAAGTGGAAGATTGACTCCAGCTGCCGGAATGCCACCTGCTGCTCTGCGAGCGATGAACGGTCGGGGAAACTGAGAGGGAGGGAGGGGAGCACGGGGAGGGGAGCACGGGGAGGAGGGGGGGGGGGGGGGGGGAGAGAGGAGGGGGGGACAGGGGAGGAAAGGGGGAAGAGAGAGGGAGAAGGGGGAGGATTGGTGGGGGGTTGGTTGGAGGGGGTTGTTGTGTAAGGTTCCGAGGGGGAAGGTGTTGGGGTTTTTGGAGGGCAGGCGCGAGGCGGCGTAATCGAGGTAGAAGTGGAAGATGGACTCCAGCTGCCGGAACGCCACCTGCTGCTCTGCGAGGGATGAGCGGTCGGGGAAACTGCGACCGGGGGAAGAGAGGGGGGAGGGGAGAGGGCAGGGAGAGGGCAAGGAGAGGGGAAAAGAGGAGGAACGTTGAAAGTGGTGGTTGAGGGGGTAAGGGAAAGATGCGAGAGTTGCGCATGGTCAGTTACAAGTGGATCAGACGGACAGAGTCTGTCATTCTGTGTCCCTGTCCCTGCCCTCACTGTTGGTTCCATCTCCTCACTCTTGGTTTCCCTTCCCCTGGACTCCTCACCTCGCCCCTGTCCACTCACCTCGCCCCTGCAGGCAGGGCAGCAGCAGCAGTGCCGGCGGCAGCAGCAGTGGCAGCAGGGGGCGCCTCCCCAATGATCTGATTCCCCAGCGCCGCATGCCCTGATGCTGCCCTCACAGCCGCACTGTCCGTGCTGCCCGCCCCTGCTGCTGCCGCCACCGCTGCCAACGCCTGGGAGAAGCGATCGTTCACGAGGAGCAGAGCAGCGGCAGGTGCACGCGCCCACCGGTACAGGTGTATGGCCTGGTGGGGTGCGGTGGGGAGAGGGGAGAGTAGGGGAAAGCGGTTGCAAGGGGAAGGAGCTGCCAGCGCCTGGGAGTAACGGTCGTTCACGAGGAGCAGGGCAGCAGCTGGGGCACGGGCCCACCTGTAGAGGTGTATGGCCTGGTGGGGTGCGGTGGGTGTGGGAAAGGGTTGGGGGGGAAGGGGTTGCGAGAGGGAAGCCCTGCTGCTGCTGCTACCGCTGCCAGCGCTGGGAGAAGCGGTCGTTCACTAGGAGCAGGGCAGCAGCTGGGGCACGACCGCTCCTAGTGAACGCGCCCACTGGTACAGGTGTATGGCCTGGTGGGATAGATGCATAGTGCGAAAAACAGTTGTTCATGAGAGATGAAGAAAGAAAAGAGAGAGGTTTCTTGGAGTGGGAGAAATGGTCGTTTATGAGGAGCAGGGCAGAGGCAGGGCCACGGGTCCACCGGTAGAGGTGTATGGCCTGGTGGGAGGCGGTGGGGAGAGGCGGGAGAGGAAAAGCGTTGGCAGGGAGGGAGGCGAAGGAGATGTTCTAAAGTGGGAGATGCGGTGGCTCACAGAGAGCACAGCAGCGGCCGGGTCACGCTTCCTTGCCTCCTTACCTCCCTTCACCCGACCCTCTTCCCCACCCTCTCCCCCAAACCTCCCTCCCCTAGCCTCTCCCATCCACTCCACTCACTCACCTCCTCATCCTGCCCCATGTCTTGGCAGTCCTTCGCTGCTCCCAACACCACCACCTGCTCCTCTCATTCCCTCCCCTCCCCCTGGTCTCTCCACGATTACCTTCCTCCCTCGCTCCCCTCACTCACCTCTTCGTCCTGCCCCATGTCTTGGCAGTCCTTTGCTGCCTTCTCTCAGCACCACCTGAGTCACTTTTGAGAGTTCTCAAAGGATAATTCTCAAAAAGCAGTTCGCAAAATCTCTCTCTCACCTCCTCGTCCTGCCCCATATTTTGGCAGCCCTTTGCTGCTCCCAACACCACCTGCTCCTCTCATTCCCTCCGTTCCCCCTACTCTCTCCCCAATCACCCACTCCCCTCTCTCACCTCTTCATCCTGCCCCATGTCTTGACAGTCCTTCGCTGCTCCCAGCACCACCTGTCTCTGCGCCGCCTCATCCCCCACAAACCGCGCCAGCGACCCGCCCCCTCTCCCCGCCCCTCCCCCTCCTCCCCCCCCGTCCGCTCCCCCCACCCCTCCCCCACTCCCCAGCAGCTCCTCAATCCCCCTCTTGCTCCGTAGCACCTCTCTAACAGTCGCCTCCATAACAGTCGCTCTCCTCCTCCTCTGCTCCTTCGTTGCGCCTCCTCCTCCCCGCCCCGCGCCCCCTCCCCCTGCAATCACATCAGCAGCCACTGCGAAATACTCTAGAGCTGTGCGCACATCACCGGCTCTCAGAAACACAGATACAGCGTACTTGCGAATAATCCCTGCTATATCCGCCTCTGCATCAACAACAGCCCCTGCTCCCCCTCCCCCTCCCGCTCCCGCTCCCCCGTCCGCGCCGTCCCCCCTCGCTCCCCCTCCCCCTCCTCCTCCGCCCGCCCCGCCTCGCATCGCCAACTGCAAGCCTCCCGAGTGCGCCACGGCAATCCCAAGGTGAACTGCGTCCACCACATCAATACTCTCTAGATGGTATACCACTGCTGCGTGCAGCTGCAGGCTCAGCAGCAGCACGTACGGGTAGACCAGCGGGTCTTTGCCGTTCTTGGTGTAATATGACGCGTCGAAGCGGGAGAGGTAGGCCTGTAGATTCTCCAGGGTACAATACACCCCAGAGTTTGCAGCAGCAGCAGCAGCAGCAGCAGCAGCAGCGGCGGCAGAAGCAGAAGCAGCGTCGGCGCTCGAAGCGCCCCCGAACCCACCCATCCACCCGCCGCCATCTCGGCCGGGAAACGAGAGGCCGGAAGGGGAGGCTTGGGAGCGAGGGGAGGGGTCGGCTTGGCGCAAGATAGCAAGATGGAACCACATGAAATCTTCTATGGTTGGGAAGAGGGACGGGGCTTCCCGGAGTAGCCTGTCTGCTAAGGCTTTCCGGCCTGAGATGAGGACGTAGAGGAGGAATTTGCGGCGGTCTACGCCCCCGGTTGCTCCCCCTGCTGCTGCTCCTGTGAAGGAGGATCCTGGGCGGGATAGGGAGGAGTGGGATGCGGTGCGCGCCATGCGGTCGCACTCGTCTGCTGCTGCTGCGGAGGTGGCGGGGTCGATCGAGCCGTTGGATGAGAGCCACGTGGCAAGCTGATTGGGCGAGTAAGAATGGAGGTTGGGAGTGTAGAGGTGGACATAGGGAAGCAAAAAACGGCCAAGGAGGAAGGGAGAGGGTGAGGGATGGGGAGGACGGGCAGGAAGTGAGCAGGAAAGGGTGTAAGAGAGTGGCAAAGGGCATGTTCGTGGAAAGAGCAGCAGCAGCAGCATAGCAAGAGCAGGCTGAAAGAGGGCGAGCAGCATAGCAGAGTGTGTACGTACCAAGGGGGCAAAGGCACGCGCAGAGCGGGAGTTCTGTGCGACGTGCAGGGCATCGTTGGTGAAACCCGAACGCAGACAGTAGAAGATCTGATGAAAGGGGGGAAGGGGAGAGGGTTGGGAGAGGGGAGGTTTAGCTCTACTGGGATCACTACACATTGGGTCTGTGCAACGTGCAGAGTATCGTTGGTGAAGCCCCGGCGCAGACAGTAGAAGATCTGATGAAAGGGGGGAAGGGGAAGGGGGAGTACGGGTGAGAAGGAGAGGGGAATGCAGCAAGTGAGGTGTCGAAGGCGGGTGAGGTGGACAGGGGGTAATGGTAGTGGGAATGGTAATGGTAGTGGGAATGGTAATGGTAGTGGGAATGGTAATGGTAGTGGGAATGGTAATGGTAGTGGGAATGGTAATGGTAGTGGGAATGGTAGTGGTAATGGTAATGGTAATGGTAATGGTAGTGGTAATGGTAATGGTAGTGGTAATGGTAATGGTAATGGTAATGGTAATGGTAGTGGTAATGGTAGTGGTAATGGTAATGGTAATGGTAATGGTAGTGGTAATGGTAATGGTAATGGTAGTGGTAATGGTAATGGTAATAGTAATGGTAATGGTAATGGTAATGGCAATGGTAATGGTAATGGTAATGGTAATGGTAATGGTAATGGCAATGGTAATGGTAATGGTAATGGTAATGGTAGTGGTAATGGTAATGGTAATGGTAATAGTAATGGTAATGGTAATGGTAATGAAAATGGAAGTGGTAATGGTAACGGTAATGGTAATGGTAATGGTAATGGTAATGGTAGTGGAAATGCTAATGGTAATGGTAATGGTAGTGGTAATGGTAATGGTAATGGTAATGGTAGTGGTAATGAATGGGAACGGTAATGGTAATGATAATGGTAATGGTAATGATAGTGGTGATGGTTGGTAATGATAATGGTAGTAGTAATGGTAATGGTAATGGTAGTGATAATGGTAATGGTAATGGTAATGGTAATGCTTTGCAGATTGGGTTGTGGCGAAGGCGGGTGCTGCTACTGTGCTAGTCAGTGTTTAGAATCATAACGAGCTGCTACCGTGCTAGTCAGTGTTTAGAATCATAACGAGCTGCTACCGTGCTTGGTGCATCCCTCCCCATCAGCACCACACCATCCTTCCATTCCTCCATTCCCATCCATGCGCGCACCTGGTGCCACGTAGTGTCGAGGGGAGGCAGACGAGTAGTGGGCGTGGCATCAAAGTCCAGAGGGCCCTGATCCCGCAGCCGCACCTGATGAGCGCAGGGGGAGAGGGAGGTGGAGGAAGGGGGAAAGGCGAGGGGGAAGGGGGGACGAAGGAACGTGACATAAGGTTGGGTTGTTGGAGTGGCATCAAAGTCCAGAGGGCCCTGGTCCCACAGCCGCACCTGATGAGCGCAGGGGGAGAGGGAGAGACAAGAGGTGAGGAAGCATGAAGCATGGACTATGGAACATGGGGCACGGGGCATGGGGCATGGGGCATGGGGCATGGGGCATGGGGCATGGGGCATGGCACATGAGGAGAGCATGGCACGCGGGAACAAACGAACATGGGCAAGCATGAGCATTTTGTTGTGGGTTCAGATCGAATAGCAGTCCAGGAGCGCAATTCTGCCAAGAGGCAGGCCCGCGGAGTGCCATGAGAAAGGGCCTACCCTGAGGAAGGCCCGCACGCGGTGCAGACTGCCTGTGGAGCCGCCCAGTGATGCCTGCACGCAGGGGTGTGGGGGAGCGGGAGGTGGGGCAAGATGGAGGGAAGAAGAGGGGGGGGGAGTCGGGGGAGAGGAAGCAGGGGGAGAGGAGCAGGGGGAGGGGAGCAGGGGGAGGGGAGCAGGGGGGGGGGGAGCAGGGGGGGGGAGCAGGGAGGGAAGTTAAGTGGGCGGGGAAGAGGAGGAGGGAGGGATGGAGGAAAGGCAATCGAACGGCAAGGAGAAAGACGAGCGGGAAAGTGGACGAGAGCTGTCACTCCAGAGTAACGTAGTGTGACTGCAGAGTAAGGTACCGCGACTATAAACCAAGTACGTGTGTGTCACTATCGAGTAGTGTAACTATTGAGTGGTAGAGTGTGGCCATACAGTAAGCGAGTGTGGCCATACCTCGTTGGGGTGGGACTGAATCACATTCAGCATGTGATGAGCATGCCCCTTCTCCCGATGCCTTTTGAAAAGTCTCAAAAGTAGTTTCAATGTAGTGAAACCGAATCGAGTGTGGCCGTACCTCGTTGGGGTGGGACTGGATCACATTGAGCATGTACTGCGCATGCCCCTTCTCCAGATGCCGCCTTGCCCCCACCACCATGCTCATCCGGTCCCCCCGCAGGAAAGGTGCTGCTGATGACGATGGTGAGGGTGATAGAGACGCCCCTGACTGCTGCTGCTCGTCCTCCCCCAATAGACTCTGCCAGCGGGGGGTGGGGAACATTGGGCCACTTTGAGAGTTTAGTTAGTTGGTCACTTTCAACCTGGTTGCGGAATAAATCCAACTCCAACACCCCCTCCCCCTCTTTCACCTGCACCAGCTGCCATATCTGCCTCATGCAATTCATTGCTCTGACTCCCTTTACCCCCCCTCCCTCACCCGACCCGTCCCCTCCCTTTCTCCCCCACTCTCCCCCCCTTTCTCACCCTCCCCTCACCTGCACCAGCTGCCAGATCTGCCTCGTGCCAACGGACTCCTGCTCCTCGCTGCCAAACCTCCCCTTACCTTCCCCCAACCCATCAATCCCGTCTCCCCTCAACCCCTCCCCTCCTCCCCTCCCTCGCACTGTCCCTCCTCACCTGCACCAGCTGCCAGATATGAATCGTGCCCACGGATTGCTGCTCTTCGCTGCTAAACCTCCCCTGATCTTCCCCCAACCCCACTCCTCCCCCCTCCCTCTCCGTCCTTTCCCCCCCTCACCTGCACCAGCTGCCAGATCTGCCTCGTGCCAACGGACTGCTGCTCCTCGCCCCTCACCTCCCCCCCTGTCGCCCTCTCATACGCCGCTGCCATTGCCGTTGCCACCTGGGCATTGGGCGTGAGGCGTGGGGTGTGGAGTGGAGCATGGGGCATGGATTGTGCAATTAGGAATGTGCAATCAGGAATGTGCAATCAGGAATGTGCAACACCAAACACGAACCCCCACCGCTCTCACCTTGAGCACCACGCCTTGCTCAGCAGCAGCATTCAACTCCCCCACCACCTGCGCGTAGGCCACCTCCCTCGCCTCTCCCACCGCTCTCCTGTCCCCCCCAGGCGACACAAACCCCGCAGGAGAGGCAGCCGCAGCAGCAGCAGCAGCAGCAGCAGCTGCTCGAGGGGACAGCGCAGAGAGGAACCGCTGCTGCCCAAGGCCCTTCCCAGGCGTACCAGCAATCCCACCAGCAGCACCAGCACCAACACCAGCAGCACCAGTACCAACACCAGCAGCACCAACACCACCAGCAGCAGCGGCACCAGTGGAGAAAGACGAGGGGAAGGAGGAGGGGTTGAGGCGGGTGAGGCCGTGCAGCAGGTCGCGCTTGTCTCGCTGCCAGTCGTCCTGAATGGCCCAAGCCATGAATGAGTCGAAGGAAGCCGTGTTCTCCCGCACTGCTGCCTGCACCGCCATCACCAGACTCATCTCGTGCACCTGGTGGGGGGAGTGGGATGGTTACCAGTTTGGTGACGGGTATGGTTACAAACAACGGCCACTTGGTTTCAAGTGATGGATAAGTGGTGGAGGAGGAGAATCAGAGAAGATCACGAGCCTTGAAAAAAGACTGGGAGCGATGCTGGGAGCGACGGGATTGCAGTGAGAGACTGAACCTGGGTGAGGCAGGCCGTACCTGGGTGAGGTATTCCTCTACGCTGCCCGCATCCACTGGTAACACATCCTCAAAGGTCGTCTGCCACGCACCGGGTGGAAGGGTGAGGGGAGGGGGAGGGAGAGGAAGGTGGAGTGGGGAGAAGAACTGTTTTTTGAGTCGACTCAAAGTCCACTGGTAACACATCCTCAAAGGTCGTCTGCCACGCACAAGGTGGAAGGGCGAGGGGAGGGGGAGAGGGGGGGGGGGAGGGAGAGGGGGGAAGGTGAGGGGAGAAGGGAGAGAGAGGTTCTAGGGTAAGGAGGAAGGAGAGGACCGGGAGGGTGTTGGGGTGGGTGGGGGGTGGAGGGCTAGGAGAACGGTTAGACAGGTAGAGAGGAAAGGAACGCTGGAAAGGGTTTTACCAAGCCAAGGACAGGCTCTTGATTTTATCGCACAGCTGCCGTGGTCTGATCAGCAACGGTGTGGGCGGTGCTGCTAAGGGCAAATCAAGAACCGTCTCCTATACATACGCACATACCTTGAGGTGCACTGAGCGCAGGTCCTTGGTGAGCTGCTCCGCGTTGATGCCCTCGCGCGCCAACAGCCTGGCGCGCCCATGTGGGAAGGGGGAGTGCGGAAAGACGGGGGGGGGCACGGAGAGAAAGGGAAGCGCGGAGAGAGAGGGGGAGCGGAGAGAGGGGGGGGCGCGGAGAGAGGGGGGGAGCGGAAAGAGGGGGGGAGCGGAAAGAGAGGGGGGGAGCGGAAAGAGGGGGGGAGCGGAAAGAGAGGGGGGGAGAGGAGAAGGGAGGAGGGACGGTGGAGGGACAAAGTGGGGGAAGGCGGGGGGGCGGGGTGTGGGGGAGGGAGGGGTTGTGGGTGCGACCGAGTGAGGAGACGAAGGGAGAGGGGAAGAGGAGGGTAAGGCGAAAAGGCGGTGGCGTTTGGGAGTGAGTGAGGTTGGAGGTGTACAGAGGGTTTTGAATGGTTCGAGTTAAGGTACGAATGGTTCATGAGGCGCCACAGCTCTTAGGGCACCACGTGTATCGTATCTTCATGTCTCCATCCCCACTCTCCACTCCCCGTTCCCCATTCCCCACTTCTTCCCTCTCCCCATCCCTAGTTCTCACTCATCAATCCCAGTTACCCACTCCCCGCTCCCCATTCCCAGCTCCCCTCCCTTTCCCCACTCCTCGTTCCCCCCCTCCCCCCCCGCGTCCCTCCCCCCGCGCGACCCCGTCCGCGTTTCCCTCACCGCGTGGCGGCGTTGGTCTCGGTGACAGCATCCAAGCGCGACGTGCGCGCCCTCAGCTGCTGCGACAGCGCCTCCAACTGGTCCAAACTCCTCTGCACCGCATTGCACGGCAGTGAATGGCAAGATGAGAACATGTGAACGGGAGGATAGCGGGGAGAAAAGGGAGGAGAAGACAGGAGGGGAGTGCCCGGGAGGGGAGTGCCACGGAAGAGGGAACCCAAGGCGGGAATGGCACGGGGAGCGGGGGAAGGTTAGGTCGAGGAGGCGGGTGAGGGGAAGTGATGAAGCGGAGAGCAATGGTGGAAGGCGAGCGACGGGCCGAATGAGGGGAGCGACGGGCACTCGTTCCGAATCGCGAACAAATTATCCGCTGATCCCTGAGAGGCAGAGCGCTGATAAGAAAAGCGGTCGCTTCACGATCCGCATATGACCCTATCCATTCCGCAGCACAAACGGAACCGCGAGCAAGCGAGTCTCAGAAGTTGCATAATCTATCTCAACTAGCCGTTACTTGCGACGGCTTCAGGCACGCCAAATCTGTTGCAAAGGCACCTGAATGGGCGGGAATTCGGACTCTGTTGCGGCGAATCGCGAGAGCTGCTGCTGGCTCCTCTGGAGCAGATCCTCCCATCCCCTTCCGCTCTCCATGCCTTCTTCGATTCCCGCCGCCTAACGTTGTCGCCAGGCGAAGAGAGCGGACAATTTAATGAGAAATCTAAAGCAGAAGGCAGGCAGTTTCTAAGGATTCTAAGAAGGCCGTGTTTCAAATGGAAAGCTCTGTCCGGAAGACGCGGCAGCAGCCACAATCGACCGGCGGAGATCGGTCGAGAACGGCGACGAGGGCTCTCCACAATACGCGATCAGCGGAAGCAAGATTTCCCGAATACGCGGCGGAGGGCTTAGGGGACGAACACAACGGACCAGGGCGCTGGACGAATGCAATGCACGTTGAAAAAGCAGCGGTCAACGGAAGAAACGCGGAACGGCGACGGCGAAATCGCGGGATAACGTGTATAGTGCGGCCAGTGCCGGCACACCGCGTCGCACCTAAAGCGATCAACGGTCTAGCGTGCAGCGCGGCCTAGGGAAACACTGCGAGTGAGCGCAGCGGACTGAAAAAGAATCGCACTTGTAATGGCGGGCTTGGCCTGTATTGGATCTACGTACGACGGAGCAACAGGTGTGCCTAACCAGCATTTGAATTCGCAAAAGATCGAATTGTACAGTACTTTCATAACATTTCAATACCAGGTATGGCGATTTACTAACCACATCCAGCATGACTATCTCAGTACAAAAAGAAATGCATACACGATTTCTATACCTAGAGAACAGAAATTCTTATATTTCTCCAACCCTTCTGCTGTCAATCACTCTCACTGCTGGCATCCCTCTTGTGCCGTCGAGATCCCCTCTTCTTGTCTCTGTCTCTGTGGCTCCTTCGCTCCTTCCGCTTCCGATCATCATCACTAGAACCACTACTCCCTTCACTCTCGCTGCTGCTCTCCTCCTTCCTCCTCCGTTTCCTCCTCCTCTCTCGCTTCTTCTCACTCCCACTGCTATCAGAGCTGCTACTACCATCACCCCCTCTCCTCTTCCTCCTTTCCCTCTTGGCCTCCTTCCGTGCCTTCTTCCTCTCCCTCCTCTCCTTCTTCTCCCTCTTCATCTCTTCAATAATCCTCAACGCATCTTCCACACTCCCTATCCCCAATCCCTTCTCCTTCTCCTTCGCCTTCTCCTCTCGTTTCCGCTCTTTCTCCCGCCTCCTCTCCTCCCTCTCTCCCTTTCTGTCCCTCTTCTCCCCTCCCCTCTCCTCTCCTTCCTGTGCCACGCCATCAACACGCCCTTCCTCGTCTCTCACACCCCCCACAAGCCCAGAACCATCCCCAATCACCCCACCTATCGGCATCCCTTTCTGCTGAGCTGTCATCCACGCAGGCTGAGTCATCGCCAGCCCTCTCCCCCTCCCCCTCAGGTCCACATGAGGCACATCCATTCCCCGTCTCCCCCCATCCCCCCCTCCTCCTGCATCCCTCCCTCTTTCCCCAAACTCCCCTCTCCCCACACCACCAGCTCCCAGCAACCCACCACCACCACCGCCACCACCACCCCTCCCACCGCCTCTCGCAACACCCGCCCCGTCCCCTCCTCCGTCCACCCCTATCCTCTCCTCCCCAGCATCATCAGCCAGGAGCTCATAGCTCGCGCCCACAGGCCCATAGCACTCCGTCTTTAAGTGCCCCTGCCCGCCACACCGCGTGCACGTAACATTCAACACTGCTTCTAGCTCCAATTTCACCGGCGCTTTCCACTTGCTGCCGCCGCCCTGCCCGCCTCCTATCCGTTGATTACTCGGGTCGCGATCCGCACCGTCCGTTTGAGCGACCACCTTCATGGAGCACCCGATCCGAATGTTTGCCGAGCCTGGAAGGCCCGGCGTCGTGTCGATGACGTCAGCGCCGGTCTCGTCTTTAAGACTAATTACCTTGACCCAGACCTGCTCGCCCTCTGCCGCCACGCCTTTAAGAGCCTCCACCTTTGCGTCGTCTGTGTCGTCCCGCTTAGCCACCTGTGAGGTATGGGGAACAAACCGATGTGGGTTTATACATGGAATGGGGCATGGGGGGTCACGTCGCGCGATGGAGCAGAAACCCCGTACACTACGAAATTTGTCGTTTTGCCATATGCCCCAGCCAAATTTGTCATGGCAATCCCCCGAAAGCAGTCGCACACGGACCTCATAGTCGCACACGGACCTCATAGTCGCACACAGACCAAGCAGTCGCACACGCACCTCATAGTCAGACACGTGCGACAGGTGCACGAGGCCGTGCTTGCGATACCCTTCCAGCCGCACGAACATGCCGAACGGCCGAATCGAGTGCACCGTCGCACGGTGAATCGAGTACAGCGCCGGCACCGCATCCGATCCCTCTCTCTCCCGACGCTCCTGGCGCTGCTGACGCTCTCCGCCGTCGCGCCGTCCCCCCGCCCCCCTATCCCCCGCATGGCCCCTTCCCCCGCCGTCCCTCTCCGCGTCCCGGTACCTGTCCAGTTCTCCCCCCCTTTCCCTCTCCCTTCCCCTGTCCCGATCCCCGTATCCCTGCCCGCGTTCCCGCCGTTCGTCCCTCCACACCCCATCTTCCCCCCATCCTCCGCCATTCCCCCGGCCATCACTCCCCCGCTCCGCCCGCCTATCGCCCCCCCGATCCCGTCGCTCATCGCCCCGCCCAGCCCTGTCGTCGCGGCTTTCTCCGCCGTCGCGCTTCTCCGGACCCCATCTGCTCGCGCGCGCGCGCCCGCACTCGTCCCCGCGGGGCGAGCGTCCCGCCGCGGAACCGAAGCCGCCGAAGCCGCCGAATCCGCCGGCTTCGCGATCATCCCAGTCCTCTCCGTCCATTTGCGAAGATCCTTCGCGAAGATTTTGGCTGGCGAACAAAAAAATCAGCAAATCGCAAAATTTGCTGGTTTGACCAAAAAGCTCAGTCAATTTCGTTTCCTCCCAAAATATCTGCCAGGTTTCTCACGTTTCCCCCATGTTTCGCACCTCCTTAAAGGTGAAAGGAGTGATGGGTTACAACTCCTGCAAAGCAACATGGCCATCGTCCCTATTTCATAAACCTCCAACATTGTGTTTAGACAAAACAGGCCACAAATGTCACTGTACAAAATAAGAAAAATCAAGCAATCCTTGAAATTGTTTATTTTTTTCCAATGGATTCTTTAGTCATTGCTCCCAAAACTCTGATCAAGCCCCATTCTTTCCAAAACCTCCGGGCTGGCCCAAGGTTGCTGGAACTCCGTCCACACCTTCTCCCCCACCACCCGCTCTCCTCTGCGCCTCTTCCGTCGCCCACAGCGTATAATCCTTCACTAGCCCATTGAGAAGACTGGCCTGCATCACAGCTAAAACCCCGTCCAGGAGCGCATTCCCCACCGCCTCTACCGCAGGCCTGGGAATCAGCGAGAGTGGCATGGGCAGCCGCACGGCAAAGGCCAGGTTCACTGAACCACCCAGAACACAATCCGCGGGGGCAGAGGCGGAACCAGCAGAGAATTCTTCGGAGGAGGATGACGAGGAGGAGGAGGGGGAAGAGGAGGGGGAGGTGGAGTGGGAGGGCGTGAGCTGGCCGTCGAGGAAGAGGCGGAAGGGGATGTTGTTCATGGACGCGGGTGCGCCTATGAAGTCCAGCTGCAGCTGGTTGGAGAAGAGACGGAGAGATGTGCCGTCGTGGTACACTCTGGCACGTGGGGGGTGGGAGGGGGCGAGACGGTGTCGGGATGAGGGTGAGGGAGAAAGGGAGGGAGGGGAATTGAGACGCAGCGACGTGCCGTCGTGGTGAACTCTGGCACGTGGGGGCGAGGGGGGTCGGGAGGGGGCCAGGGGGCTTAGTGGGGATGGGGGTGAGGGGGAAAGGGAGGGAGGGGAATTAAGACGCAGAGATATGCCGTACAATCTGGCACGTGGAGGGTGGGAAGGGGCGAGAACGTGCGGTGGGGGTTGGGGGGGGTTGGGGGGGTGGGAGGCGGCCAGGGGGGGATGAGGGTGGACGGGGGTGAGGGGGGAAGGGAGGGAGAGGAAATGAAGGGATGGGGATGAGAGGGCGGAGTGGATATGAGGGAGAGGGACGGATGGGTGGGATGGGATGGGTGGGGAAGCAGGTTGTAAAGACTTATTGTTGTAGGCTGATTTTGAGAATTCGCATATTGAACCTACAACCGTGTACAGCCTGAGGTGCATTGTTGAACGAAAACAAGTGTTCTGTTGCGTTGAAAGAGCAAGTTGAAATGGACGATGGTGATTCAGGGAAACCACGTTGATACCTTTCATTGGACTCCGCCCATCTATGTCGAACCCAACCGCTCCCTGTTACGATCCCCGCACCTCCCATTACCATAACCCACGTTCACGCGAGCAATCAGGCTTCGAGCGCTCAGCGCACCCGGCGGGAGAGAGAGCGCACCTTAGAATGCAAATCGGCGTGGCTGTTATACTAAAGAACGTCAGCTGCAGCATTGAAATCCGCCATAGGTCCGCATCCAGCCGCATCAGACGCTTCGAGTCCGGAAACACCACGCGCACTATCCGCTCCGTATTCTCCCCCAAGTACTCGTCCACGCTCACTATCTGCCCGTCACCGGCAACGCTGCCGGCAGCCCTAACGGCTGGCCGTTCCGCGCTGCCGGCGGCTGCTCCAGGACCCGCGGCCGGCACGCGAACCTGCGGGCAGGGAATTAAGACGGTGCGCTCGGCGGTGAATTGAATCTCCCCCGGCTCCGGCGTTTGCGGGCTCTGCTGGTTTTGAAGCGGCTGCTGGCGGGTCGCACTAGCGCGCGGCAGCACGCGGACCCGCGACTTGGTCGCGGCTCGACCGCCATACCGTTTCGGAGAATCGCTGAAGGGAAGTCGCCATGGCTTGGCGGCGGACTCGCCGCACGGCCGCGCGACGAGAGCCGCGGTGGGGGGAGGGGAGAACGCGCGAGCCGAGCAGCAGGGGAGAGAGGAGAGCGCAAGGTCGCAGGGATTGACAACGGCGCGAGTCAACATGTTGGCAGAAAAAACTTCTATGAGCGCAGACGAGGAAGCGAACGAGAAAGACGAGAGTAGGTGTTTGCGGAAATCCTGTGCTCGCGAGCCAGAGACAGATAAGGCAGCAGAAGAGGCGTGCGGCGTGACTGTTTCTCACTACCTCTCTTTCCTCTGGTATGCTGGAAGTTAGCTTGGGACGGGACGGGAGACGGACAGGAGTCCCAAATCTGGATAGGTGTCAGTCAGGCGGTGAGCAACGAGGCGATTGGCTGGAACGAGGTGTCACTGAATTTGACAGAAGGGATGTGCTGGCTGCCCGCCAAAATGAGAGGGGGCGTGAAAACGCGGGGATAGCAGTGCTTGAAAAGTGGAAAGCTCGGGTTTCAGTTCGGTTCATATGGGGGTTTGATAGGACTGTGACCGTGTGCATTCCAACTTCCACAGTGTACTGGAAACAGATGCACCCTAGCGTACCTAGGGTGTACGGCCGCACCACAACCAGGCTAAACCAGACCGAACTAGCCCGCAGAACCGAAGAGCTCCGTACGTTTGGCAGGCCCTATGTTATGGGTTGTAAGAATGAAGAGTGCGCAGAATGCAATATCGCGGAAGTGATTACAACGTCTGAATGAACAACGAGGCCTAGGAACAACGAGGCCTAGGCTAGCTAGGCCGAGATCGCGGGGTCGCGAGATGGTTGGGTGCAGGTTCGGGGTTGGGAAACCCGAAGGCGACGCGGTAGTGGCTCGGAAGGCGAGGTCGGCGGACCGAGCCTGGTTTTCCGAAAGTCGGGGTTGTACGCGTACAGAGTGACCCAGTAAGGAATCCGAAAAATTCCTTACACTACCCCCCCCCCCCCCCCCCCCCCCCTTAAGAAAGGTGGTGAATATCCGAGACACCTCGGCGGGCCAGGTAAGCATCCACAACCGGATGTCCCAGTAGCGAGTCAGCGGTGACATACGTGTCGTCCTCGCTCGTGCGTTCTTTCCAGCGAAGCAGGAATTTCACCGAGCGGCCGGCGGCGGTCACGTCCACGCGATGGTTGAGAATCTTCCAAGGTTCCAGCGTGGGTTCTGCTACTGGACGGGTGGTCGGCGCGATGGTTGGCCGAGCAACAGCTGGCGACTGCGGCTGTTCGTAATGACGCAGCAGGCTGACGTGGAAGGCGTCATGAATTTTCCAATCGTCGGGCAGCAGCAGCTTCGCGGTGACAGGTGTCACCATCTGGATGATCCGAAATGGTCCCACGTATCGGGGCCGTAATTTCGCGGGCTGCGGCAGGCGAAGATTCTGGGTGTCCAAGAGCACAACCTGTCCTGCGCGGAAGGGTAAATTCCGTCGATGCTTGTCCGCCTGGCGGCTGGCTGTGGTATTAGCCCTTCGAATAAAATCAGCTGCTTTCGTGCGGGCGGTCTGCAGCTCCGTGACAAATTGTTGCGAGCGTGGCACCGGGTTGTCCACAGTCGTTGAAGAGGGTACCACGGGGTCTATCCCGTAATTTAGGAAGAAAGGCGATTGTCGAGTCGTGGCCGAAGGGGCGTTGTTGTACGCGAATTCCAGCATCGGCAGCGAATCCTCCCACTTGCGGATATCTGGGCAGTTGGTGCGAATCAGTTGCTCCATGGTCTGATTTGTCCGTTCCGTCTGTCCGTCGGTTTGCGGGTGGTATGACGACGAAAACTGCAGGCGGGTACCGTACTGTGCCCACGTCTCCTGCCAGAACTTCGATGTAAATATCGGATCTGGATCGCTGATGATCGCCGAAGGTAACCCGTGTAGGCGTACGACGGTGGAGATGAACAGTTTAGCTGTATCTTCGGCTGTGATCGTCGTTCGGCATGGTGCGAAATGCGCCATTTTCGTCAGGCGATCGACGACGACCAGCACCGAGTCGTTGCCACTCGCGCCAGCTGGTAGCCCCGTGACGAAATCCATCGTCACTTGTTGCCACCTTCGTTCGGGTGGCTCGAGGGGTTGCAGCAGTCCAGCCGGCCGTTGTCGCGACGACTTCATTGCTTGGCAGGTCGGGCAGGTTGACACGTAGCGCTGCACATCGGTGAGCATGTCCGGCCAGTAATAATTCCGCTGCAGCAGCTTCAGTGTTTTGTCGGTGCCGAAATGCCCGGAAAGGTTGGAGTCGTGAACCTCCTGCGTCAGCAGCTCCCGTAAAGGCTGGTATGCTGGTACCCAAATCCGGTTCGTACCGGCTTTTAGGTAGTATTTACCGTGCGGTGTAGCAGCCTGTTGTTGCGGGTTCCGAAAAAACCTGTCGATCTTGTAGCCGTGGGTGAATAGTCCCGTCAGCATCGGGTTGGTGTGGGCGATTAGTACCGCCGCGTTTTGCATGGATGGTCGGGTGAGGGCGTCGGCGATGTTGTTGGCGCCCTTTTTGTACGTGATGTTGTACCGAAAGTTGGACTCGAGGAAGTCCAGCCACCGGATTTGTCGCGGGTTGAGTGTTGGTTGTGTGCGCATGTACTGTAGCGATTTGTGGTCGGTTGGGATGGTCACGTCGGCTCCCGTGAGGTAGCAGCGCCAGACGCGGAATGCATGGACGATGGCCAGCATCTCCTTGTCGTGGACTGGGTAGTTGCGCTCGGGTGGCTGCATCTTGCGTGATTCGTAGGCGATGGGTTGCAGCCCTTGGCCGAAGTCCTGTAGCAGGACGGCGCCGACGGCGAAATCGCTGGCGTCCGTGACGACTTCGAACGGTCGAGATGGGTCGGCGAGGCGGAGGACAGGGGGTGACTTCAAAATGTTTTTGAGGGCGTCGAAGGCGGACTGCTCCCTCTCCCCCCACCGAAAATCACTGTCGTGATGCAACAGGTCGGTTAGCGGCTTGGTTATCCCTGCCATATTAGGTACAAAACGACGAACGTAGTTAACAAACCCCAAAAAGCTTTGCAACTCAGGGATATTAGTAGGCGGCTTCCACTTAACGATGGCGTCCACTTTACGCGGGTCAATCTTAATCCCTTCGCCAGAAACCACACGGCCTAAAAACTCTAACTCCGGCTTTAGGAACTCGCACTTAGACCCCTTCGTAATGAGCCGATGCCCCTGTAAACGCCGGAACACCTTTGTCGCGCTGATGGTCCTCCTTTGTCGCGCTGTACACCAGGATGTCGTCCAGGTACACGATGACTTTTTTGTCCAGCATGTCCCGAAAAATCCCGTTCATGGTGAGCTGGAACGTCGAGGGCGCGTTTGTCAGACCGAACGGCATCACTGTGAACTCGTAGCTGCCGTAGCGTGTGCGAAATGCTATCTTCGGGCAGTCGTCGGCGAACACGCGAATTTGGTGGTAGCCCCCTTCGAGAAATACCGAGCTCCGCGAAGTTGATCCAGCAGATCGTCAGTTCGCGGGATCGGGTAACGCGATTTTATCGTGACCCGATTCAGCGCCCGATAATCAATGCACATGCGTAGGCCCCCGTCCTTCTTCGGCGTGAACAGTATCGGCGCTGCATACGGCGACGTGCTTGGCCGGATGAAGCCCTTGGCAAGCAGATAATCCAGCTGTGCCCGCAACTCGGCGAGCTCTGGTTGGCTGAGCCGCCACTGTGACCGTACAGTAGGTTGCGCTCCTGGCTCCAGCTGGATCCGATGATCCTCAGGTCGTTGGGGGGGCAAGCCATCCGGGAGGTCATCCGCGAAAATTTCGGGATACTTCCGAATGATGCTCGCCAATTTTTCAGGGACTGCTGCGCAGAGGGTGTCGATGTCCGCGATTTTCTCGGAAGCTGCCACCTCGTACAGGTGCACCAAGAAGGTCTGAGCTCCGCTGTTCATCGCACGCTGCATGTTGACCGCGTTGACACGTGTCGTCACCGGCTCCGGCTCCGTCCATTTCGGAAGCGTCGTCTTCCCTCCGTATCCTCGCACGACGCACGCCCCAGTCGTCCAGTCGATCGTCGGATTGAAGCGCTGCAGCCAATCCCTCCCCAGCAGCACATCGCAGCCGTCCAACGTCGTCGCCAACATCTTCATGCCAAACCCGAATTTGTCGCCGCACTGTATCCGAATTCTTCGCGCTTCATCTCGGATGGCCAGCGGTGTCCCATCCACCAGCCTTGCATCGATCTCCGGCAGACACCTTGTTAGCTTCACCCCAATTTTTTTGGCCGTTGCCAGGTTGACGAGACTGTGGCTCGCCCCACCGTCAACGAATATTTTTATTTTATAACCGTTAACCCTCCCCACCACCAGCACAGGGTAGTCCACGTGTTCACCCACGTTATTCGTCCGGTTCTGGTCGATAGCTCTGATCGGTACCACGACCCGGTGTGGATGGTGATTGTCGGGCGACAGGGTCTCGTCAGTAGGTGGCCCTTCTGCTACTGACTCACATCTTTTCCCGACCCTTCTCCGTCGTTCTTCTTCCCCTGCTTAAGCCTCGGGCAGTCTTTCTTCAGGTGGCCCAGCTGGTTGCATTGAAAGAACAGCCCAAGGGCTCGGCTTGGTGCATCCACGCCGTTGATCGTGGGCTGCTGGGTCGATCCACGAAATCGAGGGCCCTCCCGGGAGCTCGATCTCGCCCACTGCATCAGCGCATCCGTTGACTCGGCTTCCCGGACGGCGTCGTTGAAGCTGCGTGGCCGGGTTCGTCGGACCTCGTACTGTATCTCGTATTTCAGGCCCGCCACGTAGCGATCCAACCGCTCCGCATCGCTCATGTCGTCCACTTGGTCCGCCAAGTTGCAGAATTTGCTGGTGTAGTCTTGGACCGAAGCCAACTGCTTCCAGGTACGCAGCTGCATGCGAGCAGAATCCGAGGCGGATACATGCTCGAATCTGGTTCGCAAGGCGGCGCCCCACTCCTTCCATGTGCGTATCGTGGCCGTCCCGAAGATTGATGCTGCCTGATGCGTGACAGGTGTTGAAGTCCCGTCGTTCGCACGTGCTGTTCCTGCCGAAGTCCCTTCGTGTTGCAGCGTTCGCCTCCACCACTCCAGCGCAGGCCCTCGCAACAGTGAAACTGCGAAATTAATGCGGGTGGCATCGTCATAAATCATGGC